AACCTTCGCTGTAGCGCAGTCTTCTTATCTGAAAAGAGAGAACTTTCAACTTGCGAGCAACAGCGAAGGTTACTTTCAATTATGATACATAGGTACTTCATATGGCTAGCCCTGCTCATCTGCTTTTCATGAATCTGTACATTGTCGGAAGGAAATAGGGAACGGTTTAGAGTATAAATGCATCCAGGGCATTTTTCGGGATCAAGATTAAACCGTATAAAGTGGAATATGAAACGAGGTGGGATAGGTTTGTGTTATATTCAACCAGTTCAGATTGGCTAGATTTCTTCCTAAGTGAAACCAAGCTCTGGTACAGTATTGATTGACCGTGTCAATCACGTCATCTAAGCTGTCTTCGGAACATCTCACTGCTATGCACACTGCGATCAGGGGGCATAGATCCACATGCGCGTGTGTGTGTGCACGGACCGGAGGGAAACTGTATACGTTGCCACCTATCCCTTACACTGGAGCTGGGTTCACGCTACGCAGAACTCGACTTTAGTGATTTGTAATTTTCAACTACTTATTGTTTATTGCAGTGAAACTCATTATACGGTGTAGGAGAATTCCGGATGCACCTGTATATGAGAGGCCAGTTGCGAATGCTACAAACCACTGGTCTCCGATAAGATCGATACTGTTCCCAATGCGAACAGGCCAATTTGCCACTACAAAGATTTCTGTTTGGCTTGAGTTCTGGTCTAACAAGTGATGAATCACACGTGCATGTGTTTGCTGACCTCAGTGACGCAGGCAACCACGCAACACTTTGTTTCACTGATCTTGCGCGCACGAGAGAGAGAGAGAGAAAATGTGTCGAAACCAGACTCATCCGACACAATGGTTCTGAGTATTTTGCAAACTGATTCTGATTATAACTGTCCCCCGGGTCTTCAGCACTACATTGATCTTAATATGACTCGGATTCATTTTTTAGTTCCAAACCTATTAAAACAACTTTTCATCATCGTCTTTACTATTTTTGTCTCATTTTGTTTAATGAAATATGTTATGTTAACTGAGCTGCGGAGCAAGCAACCAAAGTGCATGCATACATCTACATCCGTCTGTCTTTTACTGTATTCAGCGATACACTGGACTAAAACATACGCAAAATAGAAGATCCCCTCGCGGCGGTTTACTTATCGACGCGAGATTTCAGAACGAGAAGTTATTTATTCTGATCACCTGATGATTTGGATGTGGAATTTTGAGACTCTTTTAAACACAGAGAGCGCCTATTTCGAACACACGCATCGTGCTCCCCATCACTTGTGTGGCTGGCATACCTGTTAGTTGTTTGGGTATTCTTGTTTTTACCTGCCCAGATCCGCCCATAATCATCAGGTGTATGGTAAGTATCAAACGAGATTGAAACGCATGCATACTTCTTTTTAAAAGCTCCTTTTTCGGACGGCTTACAGGATGGGTAAAGTAGTACTCACGCTAGAGACCTGCAGATTCGCGGGTTCCGTAGATTTCACAGTCATATAATCAATCACAATACACCACTTTTATTTGTCACAGCTTTATTCTACTTTCTGGAAATAGAATGACATTACTAAACCGATAGGACTTCAAATTATATCCAGACTTTTGATTTCTGGTATGCATTTCGGATAGTCACTTTTCTTTGCCCCAAAGTAATAGATTCAATAAAGATACTGTCTTATCTGTGGGGAACTGTTCGATAACTTGACTACCTCAAAGGGGAAAAGTCCTTCGAATGCAACTTGACACTATTCGGAGAAGCGCGGCTGACGTGATGGTGCTCGGATAAAAGATGAGACCACCATGGTTTTTGTCCGGAGTGCTAAATACCAGTGGATGATAAATATCTTACTGACCAGTGTCATGTTCGCTTTGCGAATGGAAAATCTGTCCTTGACATTACGTTTTCCGTGGGGCTGCGGTGTCATTTTGAACTCCGTTCCTGATAACCAACTAAATAAAACCACCCCGTACCACACCCGTGAACTATCGCCATTGCCTTGGAAGACTTATTAAAACAACCATCAGATAAAATAATACACCCTCACAAACCACAAGCTGCTAGTTTTTTCTTCCCCAAAAATATATACACGATAGACTGCATCAAAAATTGCACCAAATTAACAAATGCTTCGTCGTTTAGAATTGAAGAGCTATACCACAGTTTTCACGGTAGAGGGACACTTTGTTTTTGGTCTCCTGTCGCAACTGTCAACGGAACAAATGTCATTATTTTTACGTTGATTTAACGAGTGCACTATAG